ACTCCCTATTCCATTGTCATGAAGGTGGAATCTAACTATATCCAGAATACGTTTTATTGGATCCAGGCCAAAAACATGTTTATTTCTGCTGTAAAGTTGGGCATTTTAACATGGGGGTCTATGGGAATTGCTTCTTTTTGCATCCATCCCCTGTCGGCCACTTAATGAACTGCAGTTTGTGGCACTTCCTTCTGGGCTTCCCGGCTCTGCGCTATGAAGCGCTGATTGGCTGTGGGTGGGCCAGACGTGCATGTGGGTGGGCCTAGGCCCACCCACAGCTACGCCGCTGCATGGACCATGTTTCCACCTGGTGAAACTAGAGGCTGCACGGAACTCAGGCTACAATACAACCATTTTGTTCTGCTCTAACGATTCAATTTATAGATTCTACATCAAAATAGTTCGTTTTTATTGTTTCCAATGATAACGTCACCTTAAGTGGAGGAATGCAAACCTGTTTTCAAATGTAAGATTTTGAATGTGTTTGACATTTCTCAGTAATGACACCCTCAGACGCCCACTATCATTCATGCTATGCCTTCAGTGGTAACTCAGATGCTTACATGGACTTGTATGTTTGACTTCATATCTAACAGAAGTAAGAGAGAAAGAGATGGGGAAGTGAGGAAAAAGGGAGATGAGGATGAGAGGGAGATGTGGAAGAGAGGGATAGGAAGGAGAGGAGAGATATTTGCGAGTTGCATACTGATTCTGAGTTTTCTCGATTAATAGCTTATATAGACAATACCATGCTTAAATAGACTCCTAAGTTATTATTTCATATGTGACATATGTAAGAAAAGGGAGGGAAGAGTCAATTATATTGAGTAATTGATTTCATATTGGAACATTCATTTCTCAAACCTATGTTTTATGGAAGAGGAAATGTACTTCTGATAAACTAATCCTTTATCAAACGGTAAATGGTGAATTAATATAACATCTAGAATCATTGAGAAAGGGTTATATCCACAGGGACTAGCTCACATTTAACTTAAAATAACATGTCTCTGCTTTGGACTGATGAGTATATGATTCTTGCATGTTAAATGACTAACACAAACCTTACATTTATGCATGTGCATGTGTCAGGAAGGCTCCCAAATCATTCTGAGGGGCCTATCCTATTTTTGTAATTAAATGATAATGTGCTAATCCATTACTTTAAGTTGTCTGCACTCAGGAAAACATCCCTATCAAGTGTTAACCCAATAACTAGGACAGCTCTGAAGGCCAAGGGTCAGAGAGAGAGAATCACACTCTGCGGCTGCAGAGGGCACCTCCATCCACGGGCAAGGAGGTCGTTCGAGATGAGAGGATTCTAATCTTCAACTTTCTGAGGAGATGGGATGCTTCTTCATCTTTCTGCTCGGTGGGCTCAGGCAGACAACTCTACAGGACGAGCGATGGTTTCAGAGGCATCTGGATGTGCCACTTGGAATAGGCAGGTGCACTGCTCTCAAGCAGATAGCAGAAGGAATACAGACAGATGAGCCTCTGTTTCACTGGGAGATCATAAAGTGCTCACTGAATTGAGCCACAAAAGCAGAGCAATTGGGGAGGGTGAAATATGGCGCTCTGATGAAGAAGAGTTTGAGCCAATCAGCACCTCAGTGCTAATCTACAGTATCAGGATGCCTTTACACACCAGACATTCTGTGTCATAAAGAGAGGAGGAGAACGAGTCAGGAGGACATGTTCTTCTAGCTCTCGTACAAAGATAACATTTGAATTGAATGACCAGATGATTACAGATGTACAATTAATGATTGTTTTTGTATTCCCAATGAACAGATATGTGTTAAATAGTGGTGATAAATATATTTTGTCAGATCAGATTACACTTTCACACTAAACAAATAAATTAATTGATATTTTCAGATTTATAAGGTATTGAACAATAAGATATTTCTAATATTATAACAGACAATGTTACTATCCTTAATCATTACCAGGTCAAATGTACAACGAGGAAACCAGATTACAAGGCTCCCAATTCAGCGATTGATATTGATTACAGTTGATACTCTGAATAAAAAACAGATGTTTTGATTTTTTCCTTTTCAGGTTGTTATACAATAAAATGTCTGATTCTTCCTTTTCAGATTGTTAAACATTTTGAGAATTGTTTAGTTTTCCATTCAGATTTTGAAATGACATAATGATTGATAGTTGAAGTAATGTAATTATGTTATCATCCCTTACTCTTGAATAAAGCGTAATGAAATAAACTTAATTAATGTTAAAGATTGAGGACACTGCAACTTTACAGATTACAGATTGATCGATTCATCACTGTGAATTTATACCTTAAACTGGGAATTTTAGCTGGATCTCTCATGATTCTGATTTATACCTCAATTTGATTTCTTATAATCCTAAATTGTGTTTTAATAAGTAATTGCCTTGAAGTAAATCTTTGAGATGTAAGTTGAATTTGGATTTGTGTTTGATGAATGAGATTACCTGAGTGATAAATGATAAAAGGTCTTATTTTGTAAACATATATTCTGCTATTATATTTTTGTATTTCATGTGTGTTTATTATTATACCTTTTGACAAAAATGCCAAACACTGAAGAAAGATGATTTTTTATTATGATTGACTGTATTCAATCAGGGTGATTGGAATGTTTTCAATCTTGTTTACTTTTGATAATTGATGCATGTGAGTTCACCCAATTCTGAAGATGCTTATTGATTTAAGTATTGACTGAAATATTCTTAGACTAATGTTAATTTGTTATCATAAATTGATAAAAAGGAGGTACTGTGAAAGAATATTTTAATCCAAGCTAAATGTTAAAGAGATATTCACAGATCTTTTTTTTATTTGTGAACATATTTAGCGTATTTGCAGACCCGTTTTACACTTGCAAATGTATTTGTGAGTTTGCAAATATTTTAAATGCATTTGTGGATGTTGTTTTACATTTACAAATCACATATTTACACACAAATTATTGTTATGTTCACACAAATAATTATGAGACATATCTATGCCCATACAGCTGCTACTCTTAAAGTGACAGGCCAAGTCTGTAACACGACGATCGTGAATTATCAACGGGGGGGGAGCAGTCTGTGGACCTGTAAGCGCAACACATTTAAATAATTGCTTTAAAGGGCATAATAATAATGACGATCGTCCGTTCTGTGATTTTCCAGAACACACATGTATGTTATGATATTAGGGTCATGCAGAGTGAGATGAGATCGCTGTCACTTTAAGAGAGAGAGAGGGGTGTGGCTTGTGCATGTGTTTGTGGATGGTAGAGCGACAGTGAGCTAGCGTGTGTATGTTTCTGGAAGTGAAACGAGGAAGCAGAAAAACAGAGTTCTGTGATGTATTTTGTGAAACAGAAGAACTAAATAAATGCAACGGCCTCCTAAGAAGAGCTCGCCTCTCTCCAGTCATTTAAGCTAAAGTGGGTTATTAAACCTGAAGCTTGTTGCTTCTGCCCTCCTCGACTACGGCCTGGGAGCCGACAGGAAAGTGCAACACACAGATGGCCAGTCCGCCCCTTTGTAGCATATTATTTCGATGAGCAGATCGCCACTGGGCTTTCAACTAAAGACACAGCTACGCAAAAACTGCGGCATGTGTACAGCTCGTTATCGGTACTGCAATTTGTGAAGTGCTTTCCTCCGTGGTGAAAGGATCTGCAATGCACCACGGAGGAAAGCGGCAGAAAGTCGCCTGGAGTTAAAGAGAGCGGGGCTGCGTTGCGTGCATGGCTTCCTTCTGCAGGTAACGGGGAGACGCGCTCTGGCGGTGGTCTCGTTCAGGATCCGAAAATAAAATAAAAATATTTTTGCACACTTATTCCTAGTGTGCCACTGGTTACGGTGCCGCGTGCCAGGAGTTACCGACCCCTGTGCTAGTGGATCGCCGGAGCTGTATTAGATTAACATTAACATGCTTATTGTAGTTGTAAGTGCACTGCCTTGCGGCCTGTAGCACCATCCTTGATGGAGCATATGTGTGGGCTGGACCAGTATTTTACAGGAAAGGAGTGAGCAGAGGGTAGAGTTGTCGATTCTTGTTCCGTTTTCTGTGACTATCTTCCTCACCCTCTCAGACTTTCAGTTGCGCGTGCTATACTAAAGAGACGCACTGCCATGGAAACCAAACAATGGTGTCGCTGTATTAAAGTCCGAGTGGAAACAGTCCTGAGTAAATCTGATTAGTCAGAAAATGGGAGAAATGCGGGAGAGGGCAATGCAATCGGGAGTCTCCCGCGAAAATCGGGAGGGTTGGCAAGCATGCCCAGAAGACCTGGATGCTTCATAGTGATGGAGGAGGTAGTCTATATACCTCGGTCCTAAGCCATTTAGTGATTTAAAAACTAGCAGTAGTATTTTAAAATCAATTCTTTGGCAGACTGGAAGCCAGTGTAATGATCTCAGAACCGGAGTGATGTGATCCACTTTTCTAGTGTCAGTGCCACTATTATGAGCCACTTTTCTTTCTATATTGTAGCCTGATGTGCACATCGACTGTCAAAACAGTTTCTCAGTCCAATGCTGTGGACAATCTCTGCTGTTCTTGATCTGTAGACCCCTTTGCCGACGTGTATCCTGGAGGACCTGGTAATCTAGTTTTTGTGGCTTTATTTAGTTTCCCGTAGCGTTGTTAGATTTCTGTTAGGGGAGGGAAGCTCAGGATCCTACGGCCCGTGGTGTGGCTGGCTCGGGCACCCTCCTTAGTTTCTGTTGGCCAGTCCTCCAGACCTTGTTCGTTTGCCTGTTGGCCTATGTCAGTAACGGCTGTACATTTAAATAAATGATCGCTGTTAAGTAGCCTACTGGACGTTGTGCGTTTTCTTTTATGTTGCGGGTCTCCCCACAAGCCACTATCACGGAGTAGGGGGCCGTAACCCCGTTATATGGAATACTTTGGCTAATTAGGAAACAATTTAGTTTGCATTTAATTGTGTTTAGCTGTGAGCAGGTCATCAGTTTTCCTTTTGTATTACAACATTAAAAAAGCAAACAAATAACAATTTGAATAATTTATTATCTCTTTGGGTCCATTGTTTCAGAAAGGTCGGATTCTGTTGCAGTGGTGTTGGACAGTGGGGGCACAGTCACATTAACCACAGCAGTTTGGAGGACTTCATCGAGCGCCGCTGTGTGGGTACTGTTCAGCGCCGCTGTGTGAGTACTGTTCAGCGCCGCTGTGTGGGTACTGTTCAGCGCCGCTGTGTGGGTACTGTTCAGCGCCGCTGTGTGGGTACTGTTCAGCACCGCTGCCTTCGACTGCAGGTGGGCCTCAGGAGAGGTTTTTTCTAGAAGTTCAGGAACTTCCTCAGCATCATCATCTGTAATCGCAGAAGAAATGTGTTAATGTAAAATGTGCATTCCAGAGTGCCATTTAAAAAAAAAGAGTTAAGACTTTTCACATTTAACCTTTTGTCGGTTCCATTTTGTCTTCGTCTTTAGTCTGCGCAGAAGCTAAAGTCAGAACGTCCAGCTGGTTTTGGGTCGATGATGAATCAGGAAGCAGTCCTTTCCTCTGATCTTTGACAGAAAAACAATTCAACATTAAGATTTAATTATGGGCCATTTTAATCTCAATTTAGAGATGGTTAAAGGCTTCAAATGAACAAAGAATAATTGAATACTGGTATTGACTTACCAACTCTGTTTATTCCACTCCTCCACTGGCTGCCATACATTGTAGATCTGCTGGTTTGATCAAGAATGGAAGAAAGCTCCTCTGTAGGTATGGGCCGGCTTTTCTGCTTGGCTGGCAAGACCATCATGGGACCCACTCTGGCCTGATGTTCCCACACTAACACAAACCAGCACAATGCATGTTAATTCAGTTACCCAGCCATCATCATGTCTAAAACCTATGCCAAAACATGTGTCAACATTGATCATTATGACGACATCTGCAGCCAATATTAAATCATACAAGTTTCTACATGCCTGTACTGGTCTTCAGTCCGCTCCTCCAGAGGGGTTCACGCTCTTCTGGCTTCACAAACCCTGGAGGCCTAAACTTGCTCGGGCTGCTGGGAGTTTGCTCAACTTCAATTGGTCTTTTGCATTGCCCACATAAGTAGTCATGACCATCAGCGGACCTCCATCTGATAAATTAAAAAACATTCAGCACCAATACTTTCTTTTGTGTGTGTAATTTGACATATTAGACTGGATCTCACTTGCCTTCCATTCACAAAAGTGCACGCCTTGGTTGTTGCATCTGTGCTATTTATTGGCACAGCATTCAGGTCACATGTGATGTAGAGCTATGAGAAAAGCAGGTGTTGGGAAACATGCACACACAATCATGTTTAAGGCAATTTAATAGAGCCTCACCTCCCCTCCGTCCTCATTATAAAATCTGAAGGCATCAATGGACATGTGGAGCTTGTCATCCTGTGTCCTGGCTAAGAATTGAGACCTTGAGCCTGGAAGCTGAGAGTCAACAAAGCACCTATGATGAGGACAAACAAAAAGAGCAACACTAAATTAGCACTCATTGACTACTATAACCAGAGTCTACATTACCCACAATGCAACTCCACCACTAACATTTCTAGTCATATAGGCAAGTTCTGGAAGTAGTTCTTTAGAGTCAGAACTGCACAAATCTGACCAGTGCATTTGCCAATAGTGGCACAGAAAGGATCTAGAATACAAAAGATTAAAAGCAAACCGCAGCTAGCCTTAGCTAATGGCTAACTTGAAGACGACACAAAAAGGACTGATCTTTTATTAACCTGTCACTCGAGTCAGCATTGCTTGCGTCTGAATTAAACCACTTGAAGAGCCTTACACATTAAACAGCTCCCTCTAGGGTCAGAAAAAGACTTTACTTTTTGGCATTTAGCAATTTGCAGCCTTACCCATTTTCAATGAAGGCATGCCTGGGGCTGGAGTGCATGTCAGGGCTCAGTGTAGCCACGCAGCTGCTCACAAAGACTCGGAGCCCAATGTGATGCCCAATTCTGACCGAGGCCTCGATGCTGATGGGCTCACCGATATGAAACACATTAGAGCCTCTTTTGTGCTGCCAGTCACCTGCACACGGACAGAAGAAAGTACTAAGAGCAAATAGAGACATGACAACGCATTACATGAGAAATGATCAAAACCCACTTGTCATGATTCTCAAGTTAAACTGCAACATTTCCACTGTAGCCTGGGTCGACATGAAGGGGATCCAGGTAGGCATGAGTGAAGAACTGGACAAACTGTACTTCCTAAGAAACAGAAAACATGCATTAAAAAAAACAAAACATCATTCAAAGATTTTTACAATGTGAGCTTTAAAAACAGAAAGAGACACAGACCTTTCGTAATGACACTCAATTCGAATTACAGACTCTTCCATTCGAACAACACCATATGGAGAAGCCTCAGGAGAGTATATGAGGAGGTTTATGTAGATCAGAGAGTCCTCAGTTACCTGTGGAGAGTAGACGTGTTTAAAACTAGAAGCTATAATGAATCAGATTAGAAATGAAATGTATTTAAAGTTACCCAGTGTCTGGTGCCGCACTCCACAAGTCCAACACTGATACTGTACTCATTTGCTGAAGACGCTGTAGCTCTGCAGTACTGGTTGTTGGTCTCTACTCCAAGGCGTAGCTCGTCACCATCAACAGGAGCTCCAACCGCAAACATATCGGCTTTGATAACAATCTCCAAAGAGTCTGGATGGCAGGTCACTCTGACGGTATTCACCTGCTGCGGTTCCTCAGCCGGAGACTTCTGCTGCTGCTGCCCGAGTTCTGACCTGCCTGTGTTCGCAAGGCTCTGAAACGAAGCATCTTGTGTGGGCGGGAAAGCAAAAGAGGAGCTAACACAGAGTCCTACAAGGAGGATAACCTGAAAATGAAAGGCCTCCATAAGTGAAACTGATAACAGGAACCTGGTCAGCTGCTCTCTGTCTTCCTGACAAACTCACAGTAGGCCTATGGTTCAGTGTGAGCGGTGGAGCTTTTTAAACTCTAGCCGATAATTATCCTCATCAGAGCAGCACACCTGCGTCCAATCAGACACCCATCAGCTTAATTGGCTGCACACTGAACTCAAAACATGAGGCCGATTGAGAGAGAGGTGAAGAGCGTTTTCACATGTTTAAAATGTGCATATATTTGCTTCATTGCTTGTTACTTTGGATTTTAAATAAAATGTTAGTGTTGCAGTTCATGAAAACCATGCAGGAAGCATTTTGACATCCCCCTGGATCCTTCATTTGTACACTATCACATTATTATTGTGGTCTATGGTGTCATTTTATTATGTTTTTAAACTATCATTGATGTTTTGTTGATCTGTACAGACTAAATCAGATACAACTTGTGATTTTGAGCTACATAAATACAATTTGATCTATATGTTTGAAACACAAGACATATCATATACAAATCAATCCATGCAGTTCAAACAAAGAAAGTATTGAAAATGCCTCCAAATACTTAAAATCAAATGACTTCAAGTTCAAAACTATATTCTTAATGATCCCTTTCAGATGTTCACTCTGTACTGTTGCCTACATATTTTATATTATTTTAGATTCATCCATTTTGTTTTTTCTGTTCATACTTTGTAGTTTGTTTCGGTCCAGAGCGCCGTTATTGGAGATGTTAGAGTTGAAAGGGGAGACAGAAGGGAGGACATGCCAGAAATGTTCGGCTGGTTCAGGATTCAAACTGGTTGAATATGGGCTGCCAGCTCTAACCACTGACATATCAGGCGAACCCATTCTTATCAAGGGTTATTGACCTAACCTCTTTCACTCTTTCCTATTATTTCCTTTATATTTGGACACATTGTATTGTCTTGTATGTGAATAGTACTTTTGTTGGTGCGCTCAAAACCAACACACTCTCACTCCTGCTACAGCCGCTGCTACCTTGTGAGCTTAAGTGTGTTTGTGTATGTAAATTAGCTGTGCAGTTCCTCTGCTGTCATTGGCCGTCCGGACCGCTCAACATCCGCGGGGATTGGACAGACGTCGCCCAACCCCTGCTCGCTTCTGCTACGTCATCCGGGGGAGGAGTATAAAGGCTGAGCACGGACAACAGTCGGGAGGCTCTGTATTTTGTGTCAGATGCCTCAACCCTATCCTTGTGATAAGCCTTCATTCTGTGAATTCTGAGATTTAGCGTGTGTCTTTGGTATTAGCTCCACTGATTAGCAGTGTCTATAGTAGGGTTCTAGGCGAGCACACTGAGTAGCAGTGTGTCGTCGGGTTCTGTGTTAGCGTAGGGATTTTGTGTGTGTGTATACTGCTTAGATCCAGGTTGATTAGCACCTGTAGACCAGCATTCCTGTGTGTTCATACTGCTTAGATCCAGGTTGATTAGCACCTGTAGACCAGCGTTCCTGTGAGTGGATATTGCGTAGAGCCAGGTGATTAGCACCTGTAGACCCGCACCAGCTGTGTGTTTCCACAGTCCCGTTTTGTTTATTGCTCGTTTCCACTTGAGTAGTGAGATTTGTTTTTATTTCTATAGCGGGGCAACTCTCTTTTGGAGACCCTTTGTGTTGTATTATAGTGACAGATTGACCCGTGTTGTGGGGCCAATCTGTGTGACCATCATTTTGCCTAGTTTCAGTGACAATAAAACCACCGGTAACAAATATACCAAATCCAATCTGGTCGTGTCGTTTCCCGTTTGTACCCTAGCCAAGTGGGAACGTAACACTCCCTAAGCGTCCAGGAGCGACGTTTGGTCAGTGTCCGTGGCGTCCAGATGTGACGCTCCTAGGCTCCTTCAGCGTCATAAAGGGACGCAAATAGCTTTCAACTGATTGCAATGTATTCCCATCTGCGGCGCGATTTGACGCTCATGGAAGCACGGCATTCGTTTGTGTCGGCTGCCCTTAAAGGCAATGTGAGCGTCCATTCCCATTGGATAACGGAGAATTGTACACCCGGAAGTAAGTATTTCCCTTACTGTCGATTGATTTTACAGTGATATCTGCTCTACTCATCGACTAAAAAACACCAGATTATCCTTGTTAATTACACAACATTGATTGGTTTAAATTGTGTGCAATGCTTTTGTATTTTTCCCCTTCGATTCGGAGAAACAAATATTTTTTCGGAGTAAAGGATGGCAGAAGACACTACACTACCCAGAATCCCCAGCTATCGTTTGGACTACACCATGTGCTCTGTTTGACAAACCCCGTTTTTTTCACCATTCATTCCAATGGCTGGCGTCTATGTCACGTGATCTTCAAATTTCTCCCTGCAGAAAAAGAAAAAATGGCCGAACTTCGTTTTATTCTCAGTGGAAAATGCCTATTTTAAAGTTAGTCTGGCCATTAAAATGCGTTTTGATGTCATTTGATGCGAGAAATATGAGTTGTTATTTCAGATTATGTGTGCAGTGGATGTACATGATCTTTAGTTTGCTAGTTATTACGAAGATTACTTCAGGAAATCGCGACGTTTTCATTGTTACCAAGGTGGTTGCTAGGGACGCTGCTATCGATATTATTTCTGTTATGTTGTGTAACTGTTTAATGGTGTTATCTTTATTGCTACCCCCTTCCCCGTCAATGTATAGTGTTGGTCCACAGCGCAAACATATTAGTTTAACAAAATCCGCATCTAAAGATAGCCTACGTTATTTTCCCCTGTGCAATTCCAGTCTCACATCTCAGAGCACATCGTCATTAACAAATACCGGAAACAGACCGAAAACATTTAAAAAAAATAAAACACTTTATTCCGGGTGTGCTTGCTTTTCTCTTTGGAGGTCATCACATAACGCCATTGTAATACACGGTTCGGCTGCATTAAATATTACATATCTGCCGTAGTTCTGTATTTATAGAGCCCTGATGAAAAGACTTCTAGACAAACACGAGGAACTGAAAACGTGACGTGGATCATAAATATATCAGCCATTAAACAACATCTTACATTTCTTTTCACACAATACGTCTCCTTGCAGTATCAACACTAATTCGGCTGACTTTTATATTTGATCCAATTGGTAGATAGGCTGTATTTACACCATAAAGGTGCACAGCTGATATAAAGGGACACCTAGTGGTTAAAGCATGTTATTGAATTTCATTATTTTTATTATTAGATATTAATAGGATCCCTATAAAGTATATTCGTTACTCGTTATTCTCTACTAATAGTTAATTAAAGACTGTATATAATGACTATTTTGCACATCCCTTTCAAGATTTCAAGATTTTCTAAGGTTTATTGACATATCATATAGGCCTACACAACTATGGTGTAGTTCTGCATTGAATAAAAAACTTGGGTCGCAGGTTCCTCAATAGTGCATTACAAGACATCTATCAATATTTGTGCATACCTCCAGCAATGTTAACTATGTTGAAGCACTTAGTTTAACTGATATTATACATAATGTATTATACTCTTATAAGATGTATGTAGATATTTCATCTCCAGCCTTGTCAGGTATTGAACAATCAATAAATAAAGAACACAGAATTGTTAAATATAAAACACAGAATTTGTGTGATTATACTAAATGATTTACAAATAAACACCACTGCATATTTACAACTGTTACACATGCTGATGTAACGCAAATGTTCCAACTTGGGATCAATAAAGTATATCTTATCTTAAGCTGATCGATGGCTACTGCCGTATTTGCAAAATGTGCCTCTGAACCTTGACAAGTGCATGTTTCAGGCTTATCAATTAATGTAATGTTATCAATTAACAACAGGGGTCACAAACATAAGACCAGCTGTTAAATAAAGCTCTTCTGACCTTAGCTGGCATGTCTGTATATATATTAATGCTGCCCATTATGGGCACAAGCAATTTTCACCCATTTATTAATTATATGTTTTAAATTTGAGTGTTTCCTATCCCCTAAACCTCCAGGGATGTACACAGTTTAATACTGGCAACTTCTTATTATGGGAAATACGAAAACGTCTACAAAACTACAACTCCCAGTAGAGACGTGCCATAGAGAACATGTTGCGAAACAGAATAGCCAGCATGTGTAGTTCTGGGGACGGGGTGGGGGAGGGGGGGACGCGGTGGACCCGTTCAAATCCAGTTTTGGACAGTCTGCCGTGGTTCCATCCCATTTCAAGTGCTGTTCGAGAATCGGCGTAACCCTCGGAGCACACTCTCCAATCACAGAGCTTGAGGACTATCACGGGGTTTGTCAAACAGAGCACATGGTGTAGTCCAAACTATAGCTGGGGATTCTGGGTAGTGTAGTGTCTTCTGCCATCCTTTACTCCGAAAAAATATTTGTTTCTCCGAATCGAAGGGGAAAAATACAAAAGCATTGCACACAATTTAAACCAATCAATGTTGTGTAATTAACAAGGATAATCTGGTGTTTTTTAGTAGATGAGTAGTACAGATATCACTGTAAAAATCAATCGACAGTAAGGGGAATACTTACTTCCGGGTGTACAATTCTCCGTTATCCAATGGGAATGGACGCTCACATTGCCTTTAAGGGCAGCCGACACAAACGAATGCCGTGCTTCCATGAGCGTCAAATCCCGCCGCAGATGGGAATACATTGCAATCAGTTGAAAGCTATTTGCGTCCCTTTATGACGCTGAAGGAGCCTAGGAGCGTCACAACTGGACACCACGGACACTGACCAAACGTCGCTCCTGGACGCTTAGGGAGTGAGAGTGTGTTGCAGAAACAGGAAGCGCTCAAACATTTGTGTGAGTTTATCTAATTTAGCAGTGATTCCATGTCAGCCACAGCTTGTTAAAAACATGACTGATAGTGTGTTTAACAAACTTAAACTAGCTTTATTAAATGTCAGGTCTTTGGCAGGAAAAACATTTTTAATCAATGATTTTATCACTGAGCACAATTGTTACAGATATGGGCATCTGTTAATGCCTGCTATATA